GAAGATGATTTCGAGTAAAATACTTAGCAGGAGCTATCTTAGTCTTTACTTTTTTTCGTTGATTCACTTTGATATCTACTAGCGTAATAGTTAATATATTAGTTATTTAGTGTAATTTGTTGGTACGTGTTACTGACTAATGTGACTGGAGAAATGAAATATAAAATTTATGGTAAGATTGAAATAGATGTCTCTTTTTACTTCTTGTGAAAACAAACTTTGTTAAAACAATAGCATAGATGGCTCTGGTAAATTCATATATGAGAAAATGCGGAGTCTATCAAATAATTCAGTGTAACTATGAAAATCTTTTTTTCTTTTATCGGATGCAAACAATAAAAAAAACTTTGTAATGTTTCTATATGATGCTAACGAAAACGTTTTTTGGAATAGTAGAAGTCTGTTAGTTTTTTTCTAAAAAAGACTCATTTATTAACAAAAATTTCCTTATGCCGGTCTATTTCGAACACTTTACACATTTGTTTTTAATACATTAGTAAAAAAAACATCCCAGCAGCTACAGAAAAGCACTCACCGTATTGCAATATAAATGGTGAACTGCTTCCTCAAATTGTCTACACAGTACACGAATGAGTTGAACCGGTGGCGAGTCTAAAAAGACACAGTTATTCGAAATATTTTCATGTGTGTTACAACCTGTGATGAAAACAGGTGCTACAATCATCTTATCAAGTAAAACTGGTATTTGACACCGTACGACAGCACGCAAATTTACTCCCATGATCATTTTCACTTCTTCAAAAATCTGTCGTAGAAATAAATTTATTCAATGTAAATAAAAGAAAATATAACTAAGCTTACCAGGACGGGGTCTTTATATTCAGGAAATTCTTGGAGAATTTCCGATGTTGCTTGATTACGTAAAGCTTTACGTCTAACATGAACAGTTTCTTTCCATAACTGAAGTCGAATATCAAGATCAATTTGAGGATCATCACGTAGTTTGTTAGCTTTTGTTTTAATATCAGCTAATGTATCGTCGTCATAGTTCATCAACATAATCTAAAAAGCACCGAAGTAAAAATAAGAAGGTATCTAATAGAGGTTTACTTGTTTTTGTCGATCTCTTTGAGCGATTTCACCGAGCATTTTTTCACCGGACGCCCAGATCCTAATTTTGAATATTTCGCCTGATATACTTTCACATCATCATTATCCCGATGTTCAAAGCGTTTACGTTTTAGTTTAGTTTGAATAGCATCTTTCCAAACACCCTATTAAAAACAAATAATTAAATTCCTTGTTTGTATAAATATGGTGGACCGAAACAATATATGCTTAGTAATGACTACGTCTTATTGTACAAGAATTATTTCTTCAATCCTTCACTGCAGATGATAATCTACTTTCGAAAGTTACACAATTTGAAAGTAAGTACATTATATAGTTTTTCCTTTTCAACAGTCTCAAATCATTCAGTTTGAAAGTCAAAATTATTCGATTCTCAGATTGCAAGAGATCAACCACCAAAATTTCCATCATGCATACCCATAAAGTTAGCAACCTCTATATAAAGCTAACTAAAGAAACGTTCTTCAGCTGTATGTATAGATGTCGTAAGGTTTTGATTGTTCTACATACTATAAAAATAAATACGTCGAGATTAGGGATGCAACAGTGGCGATAACCGGTTCAACCGGTAACCGTTTCACCGGTGACTGTTCCAGCCGGTAACCGTTCCAACCGGTAACTGGTCTAACCGGTAACCGTTTCACCGGTAACTGGTCCAACCGGTAACCGTTTCACCGGTAACTGGTCCAACCGGTAACCGTTTCACCGGTAACTGGTCCAACCGGTGGCCGTTTCAATCGGTAACCGTTTCGCTGGTAACTGGTTCAGCTAGTACATATTCGATCAGTGATCTCCATGCACCGGTATAAACCGGTGTAGGACCATATACTTTGAGGTAAAAAGCTCGTAAATATGGTATTTCGCCTGTTGGCGAAAGTGAAACTCACCGATACTTGATATAGCGATCTGGTTTTTCTTATAGTTCTGATAACCATACAAATGTANAAAAAAGCTCGTAAATATGGTATTTCGCCTGTTGGCGAAAGTGAAACTCACTGATACTTGATATAGCGATCTGGTTTTTCTTATAGTTCTGATAACCATACAAATGTACGAAGTCCATGAGCGCTGTATATTGATCAATTCAAATGTTTTACCTTTGGACTACCGATGGCAGTGATCATCAACCAATGATGTCGTAACTGACACTGATACGCATGGGCCGCGAAACAATTGATGCACGTGAGAAATTATTTCTTCTGCAACTTGCTTTTCGCTTGCAACAGTTTGTGATTAAAAATATG